AGGAGCCGCTGCCCCCGGCCCGGCCCGCGCGGGCGCTCCGGGCTGGCGGACCCGCGGTTCGGCGCCTCGCTGCGCTCCGGGTGCCCGTGGAGCCCCGCGCGCCGGGAGAGCCCCCCCGGGGGCGGCCTTACCGCACGGGTTTCCCCTCAGAGTTTGTGTCCGTTATCATTAGTGGGGGCGAAAACTAAACCAAAAATAGCATTAAAAAAAAACCCACCTTTCATAACCAGCTGCCCCAAATCAAGCATCATCAAAGCACCTGTGTGGTCGCTTTGCTTCGATTCCCCCTCCCAGGAGGGGACGTGCTGCCGCTGAAGCCCTGGGGGCACCGGTGTGAGAGAAGCAGCCCCGAGCTGAGCGCCCCAGCTCTGCGGCCCCCGAAATGGGATCCGTGGTGTTGAAACGCCTGGGCTCTGTGAGAGCTGCCGGGTGCGCGGGCACCGGGATCGAGCGGCGCGGGGTCCCGGTGCTCCCGCTCCGCCGCAGCCCCCGGGAGCCGCGGCAGGCGCTGCTGGCCCCCGTCCCGCTGCAGGGGTGCACGCGTGCACTGACCACGCAGCGCCTTGCACGGCCTTGCCTGAACCCTGTTGCATAACAGCTGCTACTTCCATGGCTCTGGGTGTCCAAGAAGCAAACACGAGGCATGGCAAGCGACTGTAGATCATCCTCATAGGAAGAAGAACCCAATTCTTGGCATCAGAGACGTTGGGCCTTTCTAAGATGGTTTGATAAACTGCTATAAATCATGCTTGATGTTAACGAAAAGAAATAGTGAGTCACTTAAGGAGCAAGGAGTATAATTCACCAAGCGTTCTGGGCTGCCAGAGTAATACAGGATTCTCAAATGTGATGGCCAGGTATCTTGCTGCAGAAAATAGGAAACCATTTGTAGATGCAGTGTGAAAGGAAGACATATTTTCCTCTGCTATAGAGAAGATGGTTATCAATAGAATTTTGTAGCTTCCAGATTTGTTTTGAAATATGTATAATATCCCTTATCATTAAAAGGTTCTTTCAGAAAGATGATTGATTGGGCTGTGCGCCAAGTGCAGGAATGCTAAAGGTAACAGTACCGTGCTGTGTGCTCGCTGTGCTCACCTGGGGAATTGGGCACGTGATAAAACGCTGAAGTGTGTAGCAAGAARAAGATATGATTTGACTGCATTCATTTCTGTTCTACTGTTTTTATTTGCTGGAGGGAAGTAATAAAAAATGAGAATAATGATTCAAAGGCCTGAGACTCTTATAACCTGAGTCCATTGCATAGACACTGCTCTGAAAAGAGCTTTCTTTTTCTTTTTTTTTTAATGCCAATTCTTTGCATTCCTGCAATGCTTCCTTGCAGGCCCAGGTTTGCAGGCCAGGTTCCTCCTGAGGAGGAGGAAGGGGGTTTATCTGTCCTTCGTCTGCTGCGAGCGCCGCTCCTTGTCACATGATGTGACTGCAGCTGTGCTCGGCTCTGTGCTGTTCAGACTCCTCTTTGCATCGCTCTTATTCTGGYCTAGCTCTACTGGCTGTAAATAGAGCTGTTGATAAACTGCACTAGTATAAATGGATAATGGGAATTAATTTGATCGTCTGGACTCATTGCATTGTTGGCTCATGTTCTGCTGTGTAGGGCATGCACAATGTGAGGGAAGAAGAGCTCTAGTGTGGAAATCTAAACTGTTCTCGGGTGATTTTTTTTTTTTTAATAGCATTATGCAACTGTTGGTTTTAACRTGAAAAACTGCATTAAGACACAATTTTATAATGTCCTATCAGAGCAAGCTGTTTTGAAGGAAAGGCCTTTACAGGCAAGTTTTCTACTAATTTTCTTTGATAATCCTGTGTGAGGACACACTGAGGGCTTGCCTGTTACGGCCAGGTTGCTCTGTTTAAGCACAGAAACTGCATCCYGGGTCTGCAGTTTTTATCGAGGCCAGAAAGAGGCACGGAGCGGGGAACGTGTTGCAGCAGGAGGAAGTGGTTTAAAGGAGGGGACTGGGCTGGTTGTACGTGGGAGCTGCATGGAGGGTCAGGCAGAGGTCCGCTTCTATAAAGTATGCGAGCTGGTTGCCAAAACAAATATTACCTAGCAGTTTACACGTGCTGAGAGAGCCCAGCAGACCCCGTAATGGGAATAGAATAGAATAATCATCAGTCTGGTTCTCGGAGGATGTTGGTTAGGAAAAGAAGTGTGTTATACTAAAAGCCTGGGTGGAACGGCAGCTCCAGAGTATCGTTTGTTTGGAATATTTTAAATTATTGATATTATTATTTGAAGAAACTTGTTTTCTAGTCTTTTCTCCAGTATAATTAAAGCTGAAGTTAGCAGAGGGCTTTCTCTGCTGTGTGGTGGGATAATGGTCTAGGAGCAATTTCTGCCCTGGAAGGTGAATTCCCCAAGCGATGGCACTGCATGCGGTTCTTGTGCTTGCTGGCAGCCTAGCTCCAAACACTGGCTTGGGGGAGGAAGTGAGTTAAATTAATCAAATAGGTTTCCTTAGCTTGTGCTGCGTTCTGTTTCCTCGGAGCGAGATTCCAGTTGGAAAGCAGCCATTAACACCTTGGCTGAGAAAGCTTAATGAGATATAGARTATGATGATAACTGCCCTTCGGGTTGGATAATACTGCTCTTTGGGTTATCCAGTAAATAATTTGACTTGCTAGAAGGAGATCCCCCTGATTCTCTGTACTACATTGCTCTGTGATGTAACTTGATATCAACCTTTTTCTTTGTTACCCTAATGAGGGTATATCAAGGGGTTAAAAAACAGTGCTTTTCTAAGAAAAAAAGAAAATCTATCCTGTAACRTGGATGCTTTTCAAGAACTTGGCTGCTCTGGTTGTGAGAGGCATGTGCTTTTCCACAGTGCTCTAGGTGATGGCTTAGTTCAAGGGGGCCCAGGTTTGGCTCAATCAACAGTGGTGTTGGCCTCTTGCCATGAAATGTGCATAAAATGGAGCTGACTGCAATTCCCTCCTCACTCGAATATGGAAGGGCAGCCCGGAGACCTGAGGCCCCGTATGCCTTGCTGTGCGTTGGCTCAGCTGGGAAAATTGCATTATGATGTGCGGTTCCTGCAGCATGAGCTGTTGGGTGAGCTGAGAGGTTTCTAGTCCCTGAGTCGTGTTTTGGTGCCTTCCCGTGTTAGCCAGTGCGTTTCAGCCCTTGCGGTGCCCGCGCTTCCGAAGTCTGTCTCCCCTCTTGCAGTGGCTTGTGCGCTTTCCTGGATGTATGAGGTTTGTCTCGTTTGCAGACTTTCTATAATTTTGTAGCTTATGTGCCTTGTCACGAATTAAGAAAAACCACAAGTGGCATTTKAGCACATTGGGTGTAAATAAACTGAATAGTTTAGCTTGTGAAATGTAAATACAGTTCAGCCTGCAGTGGCTGATCTTTCCCTCATATCCCTGCTACAAGTAGACTAGACTGATGTTCTTCTTTCCGCTTCTCCTTTTATTTATTTATTTTTTTTCTCCTCCAATTGCTCTTTCATACCATACAAATTACTAGGACTATTTAGGTGGCATGCAGGGACCACTATAGGTCCTGAGTTAAATTAAAAGTGGATGAAACGGTTGCATCCTCTTCCACATAGCTTCTGAAACCATCTTCTGGGGATTTCTGGACTCATGACCCAGAAACTCTGTCTTGGTGTCTGACTTTGCTACTAAAAATGAGCTCAAACTCAAACTAGTTAAGTCAGTAAAAGAACAGAGGCCAACTGTGATGACATTTTTAGCCTTTGCCCTTTCTTCATCTTACATACAAGGGGTCATGAACTGCAGGGAAGGAGGGATCAGAGAGGGCACAGAATTGACAAATGCAGAACAAATTGCCAGTGGCAGAAACATAAAGCCGAGAAGGAAAAGTTTTGCATTTGGGGGATAATTGGCAATGACCATCTGCATTACACGATTATATTGTGTCTCCTGCATTTAAAGTGAGTTTAGAAGAGCCTGCTGCTTAGGTGTGGGCTAGGTGATATCTTGATGCAGAAGACAGGGTTGGAAGGGACAGCTTTGTGTTTCTATGACATGATGCTAATGAGCAGCCCATGTTGTTCTGGGGATTTAAAAAAAAAAAAATTATCATTCTGGATATAAAGAGTCTGCTTGAAGCAATAATACAAAGCAACAACAACACCCTGAAGTGTAAGCACTTATTTCAATCTGAAATACTAAGTTGCTCCTGCATATTAAATGGATTTCATGTGAATTAGGATGGGGCCAGTTTGTGGTGTGCAGCATTTCCCTGTGCGGTGTCTGGAGACGGTTCCT